ACAGCTCTTCATCGGCCTACGGGCGGCGGCCCGATGTCCAAGGAGTAGCGCCGCCAAGGCGTTCAAGGCGGCATGGCGGCGGGCCCCTGCCGGACGGGGACGTCCCGACCTTACCGCCAGCGGCGCGCACTACGGCACCGTCGTGAGTACGGCGGCGGCAGAGCCGGAGGCGCAGGGGATAAGTCCACACCTGCCAGCCTCTACTCTTCACGCCTCACCCGGTTGTGTCACCCCAAAGTAGCCAACATGGCCAGTGTCGGCGGTGGTTGCCCCGATGCGTCAATGTAGCCACCACATGCAGCCGTTCGTCATTATCAGCGATACTTGAACGAAACGCCGCGCTTTACGAGCTGACATATGTCTGGAGACGAATGCAAATGTGTCTGTTGCAGGGACGTGGCCGCGGCAATGGCCAACTCTGGCCACCGCTCGTCGCGTGTACGTCTTTGACGTCACGGGGAAAACGTCCCGTCTCGCCGGCATGGCTCTAGCGGCAGCGGCTGCGTGCCGCCGGCCAGTCAAGTAGCACCGTCTCCAGCCCCCAGTCGACGCGTGTCCCGGCGGCGACGACGTCGGCAGAGCACCAGTCAGCAGCAGCAGCAGCAGCAGCAGCGATGAGGACGACCTGCCGGCCGACGGCGGCTCCATTGTGCCGCCCTCCGAGGCGGCCCTGCCGGTGGGGTGGCAGGAAGACGTGGTCGGCCTTATGCCTGCCCGTCTCGCTGCTCAAAGTCAAACTTCGAAGGCATTTGTTTAAGGCCGTAATTTAACCACGTTCGTGTACGGTGCCTGTTTGTGACGTGTTACACATAAATTGCATGCAAGTACGACTGATGTGTCGTTATATCATATGTTTCAAGCAAAGTCCTCATTGGTTGTGCGCTGCTGGCGGCTGTGTTTGTACCTGCCTGTTTCAAGAGCACGCTTATTTGCTCACAGACGCACGGGAAGAACGTGTGCTTAAAGAGGGAGAAAAGAGAAAGAAGAGCGTTTGCAGTGACGGACCCGCTGCCGCCGTCGCCCAGCCCGCCTCTGGCTGCAAACCCGCCGCACGGCCTCCTGGAGTGCGGTAGGTGTATGATGATTCTATCTTGTTATGTGACGGCCGTTCTCTTGACATTTCATGAGCGCTGTTCTGTATGCGTTTCTTATATCGCGTGTTTATTAAGGGATACGAGGTGATTCTGACATAAAAGGCATTCAATTGTTTTTCGCCGCAACGAGTCGCTGTTTAAGGTATAGCTGCTCGGGTACGGATATGGCTGCATCGCCAGAGCGAGATGAGGCTGGCGGGCGGCTGTCGTGTAATTGCAGTGCGTAATGCAGCCTCTGTTTGCAGATCCGTCTCCTGCTGCCGGCGCTGCTGCAAGGCCGCAGGACTGAGCACATCATGATGCCTCACATTATGACAGCCCTCGCCGGTCCCCGGCTGGCCATGGGGGAGGCCAACGGCTGGCTCCAGAGGCAGCAACGAGCTCACGCCATGACAGCCGGGACGCTTAAATCTGCCATCCGGTGCCTGTCTCAGTTGATTGCCTATGTGGCCATCGGCAGCGACAACCTGGGCCTCCAGGCGTGGCTGCCGCGCATGCCGGTAAGTGCTCTCCACAGCTGGCGTGACGATTGTGCCGGCTGTCGCACCGCCGTCACCGTTCGCTTATGACATGCAATTCCCAGGCCATGGTGGAGCGGCTGGCAGCCTGGCAGCGGCCACTGCAGCGTGCTGACTGTGAGCGACGACGACACTGTGCTGACTCGGCCGACAGGGGCTTGGAGAAGAGGAAAAAGAAGCAACGCAAGGAGAAGAAGCAGAAGCACCAAAAGAAGGAGAAGGCGGCGTTGACCCTTTACGAGCCGCAGTCGCCCCTCCCCCCAGCTCGTCTCCGTCTTCAGCCCGTCTCCCGGGCCTATGGACCGCGGTAAGTGTATCACAATTATGTCTCTTGTTTCGTGCCACTTATTCTCCGACGACAGCTTTTGCGCACCTCTTTGTGTGTGTGTGTGTTATATCGTGTGTTCATTAGCAGGCTACACAATGATTTAAACCTTGAAGGCATTCATTTAAACCCGCCATTCATCCTCGCTCGTTTGCGGTGCTTGGTTTTTGGTGTTTGTCGTTGGAGTTCATGCCTGTCTCACTGATGTCGCATTATGTCATGTTTTCCTGTTATGTAGTTATCGGTTGTTCTTGGTTTGGGTGTTTTGTTCTGTATTGACGTGTTTGTTAAGCCTGCCCATGTTCCCACGGAGCCAACTGCCGAAGAACGGCCACCGCTGCCCAGCCTGTGTCTCCCCGACGACTACTCGCCAATGGAGTACGGTAAGCATGCCTGATGATACTATTTCTTTCCATGTTTTAACCGTCTCTGGTCGCAGTACGTTGACTTACTATTGTGTGTATGCTCATTGGGGTATGTGTATTGTACGCTGCGGGTGCATTACACAAGTGGAATGCTGTAAAAAAAGAAGGGGTCGTTTGATGCGCTGCTGTTTTCATGTTATAGTCATTTCCCTTAAAGTAGATGCTCTATGTTTTCGACGTTTTTTCCGTTTTCCGGTATGCGACTAGTCAGCCTTTCATTCTGCCAATACATCCGATGGCCGACACTTATGGCACATGTGATATGTTTTCATCTAAAGGGGTTACTGATCATCCATTGCTGGCTGGTATGCTTTTTTTAGTTGCTTCATAAGCGTGCCTGTTTGCTCACAGAGCCGGCTGCTGACGAATGGCCGCCTCCGTCCACCTGGTCGCCCCCGTGTTTGACGACTCTCCCATTGAGCACGGTAAGCGTGTCCAATGGCGTCATTAGTTCTAGTTTGTCCTAGCTGTCTGTTGTAGAATTTGACATGCAGTTGTTATTGTCATTAGGTATGCATGTTTTAATTGTCCTAGCCGTCCATCGTAGAACTTGAGATGCAGTTGTTATTGTCATGTTTATTTTCCGTTTTTGTACGAGACTACTCAGCCTTTAATTCTGCCAACAGAGGGAGCTCTGGCCGACAGCCAGACGCCACCGGCGGCGGACGCCGACCCCGACTGGGCGCCGTCGTCGTCCCCCTCGTCGGCATCGACATCACCAGCGCCAGAGGAGAAGGAGGCCTCGGAAGAGGGTGACCGGCCCGGTATGTCACCAGTTGTCCTCTCTGTATGTGGCGGCAGACTGGATGTAAATGTGCTTCTGCCGTAGCTGGCATACCCGTGTGCTTATCCGGGCCGTAGCAAACTGATCATTTTGTGTTGCAGCGTGCAAGCCGCGGCAGGGCCGGCCTCGCAGCGGCGCTGGGAAGCGCCACAGGCACCCGTGCCGCCTGCCGCCGTGCCGCGGCACCACGTAAGCCAACCTTACGCGGCACATCAGGATGGTGCACCCGCGGGTAGGCAACGGATTGCGTGCTGTGTGCCGTTGTGTTTTGTCTTCACTCGCTTGCGCGTGTTTCTGCCGTCGATGAGTCACGCATGCCCACAGCTGTGCTGTCGGTCTTATCTTTTTAGCTGTCGACTTGTGTTTCAGCTTGCCGCACGCGCGCCGGAGGAGGCAAAGCGTCTCCGAGCCGCCGAGGCTGACTGCCCTCCAGCAGCGGTCTGTCTGTGTCTGTTTGTGTTTCAGCTTGCCGCACGCGCGGTAGAGCGCGCTAAACGCCCGCGAGCCGCCGTGGCCCATTGCCCTCCGCCAGCGCCCAAGTGCACCCAGGCCCGCTGGCGCTGCCCGCTCGGTGCCACCGACGGGCGGCACCAGTGCCCGGCGGTTGTGGTGAATATATCACGACGCGTTCGGGTCCACTTTCCTGCAGGCAGTCAGGAGGTAGGTACCAGCGCCATTGTTTCTGGCATTGTTTGGACTCGCGTTTCACTGCCTCAACATCGCGTGTAGTCGACTATTTGGCGTGTTTGGTGTGGCATCGTGAACCGTCCGTCCACAGTTCCAACAAGCGTACGGCAGTGCGGAGCGAGCTGACCCCACGTCATCGAGCAAGCCCGAAAAGCCGCTGGTTGGACTGGAGGCCACCTCGGACCAGTTCGTTACATTCCTGCATGTAGTCTGGGTTGGTTTTTGCAACCCGACGAAGGTGCAGCGGCACATGCGGGCGGCAAGTGCCACCGACGCCGGTGTGCTTCCCATCTGCTTGCTGTCATCTGTTGTCACTCGTGTTTCGCGCGTCATCTTGTGTTATTTTCGTTCGCGTTGTCCGTCCCATGCAGCGGTGTCCAGAATTGTTCTGGCGGCGAGCTGTCATATACTTGCATTGCCCAATGCAGGTTCATTTGCAGCTTCGTCTCTTGCTGCCACAGCTACTGCCAGGCGGCCGTGCGGAGCAGCTAATGATGTCTCACATCATGGCGGCCCTCGTCGGCCCCCAGCTGGCCATGGGGGGGCCCGTAGAGAGGAGCTGATACGGTCAAACTAGTTTGAATACCAACGGGCGATTTTACGCGCGCTCATAGGCTAAAGGGCGCGAATACAGACTATGCCGGCTGTGCAGGGCACGTTGCGTCAAGTTGACATAAATTAAAACGAGTCTTAATGCAATCCGACACATTACGATGGGGGCCTTAAAACACGGTCCTTGTTGGCTATCGGTGATAAGTTTAGCAGGATTTCTAGCGTCGCAGCCATGATTGACATGCTTGCTGGCGTTCGCTGGCGTTCCACATATTTTAACATGTAGCGCAATATTGCCGTTGTGCTTTGTAATAGCGTAACGGTTTTCCCTTGTTCAGGTGGATATGGGTTCTTTTTATGCTAACTTGATTGACAGTTTGGTTTCCTCCCCGTTATCTCTGCTTGCAGACGTGGTCAGTCCAATGTCATGCAGCCTCTCGTGCACGCTCGCTTCAAATCAGTCCATGTCAGTCACATTGTGCTGAAACAGCCTAGGTTTTCCTTCTTGTTTTCTCCTGTTTCGTTGCTATCAAAAACTTAAAACAGCCGAATACGGTGGCGGCACCCAACGCGCCACCCGCACCCAGCACGGACCAGTAGCCGCTGTGGGCGGCGATGGTGGCGGTAAAGGCGGTGATGGTGGCGGCGCTGGAGCTGGCGGCGACGTTGGAGCTGGCGGCGGCACTGCCATCTCCACCAAGGCAGGCATCGGCTCTGAAACATAACGGCACATCTTGCATTGCATCTTTGCGTGATATGAACACAGCTCACGACAGAAGGACACGCAACTGAGCTGCGTTGCCCATGAAGCACGACGATGTCACTAACACTACTGTCATTTACATCACTAACATGCAGGGGATCAAACAAGAAGCAATTGCCGATCATTTTTATGATACGGTGCACATCTAGCTGGGAATTCAAATACGCGAACAATACGTGTACATGCAAATGAGTTCAATTTAACAGGCATCACGCATAACACATCATTTACTTCTGCAGGCGCTTCCAAGTACACAGGCGTCTCGCATCACACATCACGTTTACCTGCAAACGACTTCAATTAAACAGACATCGTGGATCAAGCGTCCCGCCAAGCGATACATGAAAGCGAACTTAAGCCAGGATGCATAACACATCAAGACACTAGTCACATTCACCTAATCGTTTATGATGAATCCTGAACTTAAAGACTGGTCGCCAACTTCTCATAAAATAGATTCACCGTTTTTCCTCTCTACATGATCTTGTGCTTTGGGAGTAATGTTCATGTATGACTCTTGTCTGGTGATATATGTGTCAGTACCGTCCGTGTCCCGTCTTAGCCCAGCTGCTGTCATTGTTCGGTGCGCATTGTGCTGGCGTGGTCGTGGCTGGATGACATCGTGTCAGTCTTGCATTTCATCAGCCGTCTTTTGACTGACAGTCCGAGTACGTCACCGCTCTGGCGGAGTGCCCGCCGGTCGGCGAGTTCCCGCCACTGCCGGCCGAGGCCCGCCAAGCGCGTGACTATCTGATGACAGTGCTCATGCTCCTCTGCGCCGGCCGGCCCAGCCACGTCACTGGCATCGCCGCCTCTTCGGTGCCCGAGGCCGGGGTGAGCAGGCTGGCTAGCCGATGTCTGACTCACTGTTGCGCGCCATTCGTTTCGCGTAGACTGTTCTCCTGTCTGTCGTGCCTGTTGTCGGAGTGATGGTTTGAACGAGCCACTATGTGTGTAGACACCTGTAGACTGTCGACCTTGATGGCCAAGAGCGTGGCCTCATCAAGAATTACAGATTCAGGACATCGGCCACCTCGACGCTGTAGGCGGCTGTCAGCAGCGAGATGTGGCTGCGGCTGCTCCACTTCATATCAGTGGAGCGGCCGGCGCTGCTCACACCGGACGCCACCAGCAGCGACCGGGCATGTACAAAGGCTGTTCGGCAAGCGCCGGACTAATTGGTGTTGTCAGGATCAACCACGTGCGTTGGCACCCTCACCAGTGTGGTTCAACTATAAGTGTCTCTTTCCACAGGTCTTGATGGCCAAGGGCGGCAGCCCGCTGGCAAGTAGCAGCGCCGCCAATGCCTTCAAGGTGGCGTGGCGGTGTGCCGGTCAGGACGTCGACGCCCCCGATCTGACAGCCAGCGGCGTGTGCTACGGCCTCCTTGTGGGCACGGCGGCAGCGGAGCCGGAGGCGCAGGGGTAAGTGCACACCCGCCAGCCTCTTCGGTCTTCATGTTTCACTCGGTATCCGAGGTAGTCAACATCGCCAATGCCAGTGTGGTTGTGCAGCCGCGGTGTGTCAATGTCCTGTATTTAATCAGCCGTGTGTTCGCCGACGGTGGCAGCACGTCACCGCCATCACGGTCTCACGGCCGGCCGGCGGGGCTCCGCGCGTCGTAACGGATCAGGAGCGGCGACACCACCAGGCGTGATATCATGTCAGCAGC